TGTAGTAGTAGCAGTTGTAACGGTTATATTTGAAACAACATACAGAGTAATAAACTGACAACTAAGTGTATTGTGCCACATCGTGGAACTCAAGTGCAACTCAAGTGCAAGGCACCAACTCGAGTACCCATTTCTGACAAAAGGTGAAGGTGAAAGAACATTTCTTATTGACACCATATGTGTGAAACCTATAATTACAATATGAAAAAAAATGCAGGGATGTATTTAAGCAATGAACCCATTGATATACAGCCTTGAAACAGCAGTATGGGTTTTTTCTAAGACAGCACTTACCTCTGTAATTGAGAAGACTCTGAATAACTCCCATGACAGAAAACTGAGAGGCTGACCAGGGGAAGAGAGACAGAAGAGGCACACAGTGTGGTCTGAATTGGATACCTAAAGGAGGGAGGTTAACCAGGAATTGACTTGTTTAAACTGGCGAGACAATGTGTGCCCCTCCAGCTACGCTGAGACCATGTGCTGGGTCTGCACCACAGAAGGTCAAGTGCCAGGTTAACAGATAGAATGCAGGCGGTTGTGTCGATGATTCAGAGCAGGAAGAGAAGTAAAAGCACTTTAAAATGAATAAAGATACACAACGCAACATATACAAACGCAAGCTAATAGAGGTTTAATAATTAAAAGACCATATACAGTTGTAATGCTAAACATCTAAGGAAATGAAATGTGGCAGTCTCAAATTAGTCTACTTTCATTCACACCAGTAACATGGGCATGGTCTTCAGCAGATGGAGAGAGTTGACAGAGAGGATGAATTTACAAAGGGATGTTGATTGGTATTCTTTCTGCTTACCCCATTAAAGCAGCTTTCTTGCAGCTTTAATGGGGTAAAGTTGTGTGAGAAATCACTACTCTGTTGCTTGCATCTTTAAAATACTTCATTAACCACTTTCTTGGAGGGAAAAGAAGCTATAGTTGAGTTTTCAGTCATGTTGTTCTCCTTTTATTCTTTGTGGTTCTTTGCTTCCATCCAGTGAGATTTAACTCAGCCAGCAACATCAGTTCTGCCTCCACGGTAGCTCTTCATTCAAGAAATGTTTACATAACTTCAGCATGCTCTGTGAACTGTTAAACTGACCCTTGCTGAAAACTCTAAGAAATATTGGAAGTGAGACCAGAAAATGTCGCTGGGTGGAGGATGGGGCATAACACAGACGAAAGTCAGAGAACCGAGAGGTAGGAGGACACACACACAGAGACACACTCAAAAAGTGAAGGAAGGAAAGTTGAGGTGTGCCAGAAGGCCCTCAGTCAAAACCTCAGTAGATGGAGCTGTGGCCTGACCTCTCAGCTCTCAAAGGGTCCTTTCATAGTGAAGGCAGAATGTTGTCGGCATGCAGCAGCTAGCTGTCTTATTCAGCTCTGGATGCTGGATTCAGCTCTTTGTTCAAGAACCCAAATGCAGATCAGACAAGCAGGATGTACTTGTAAGGGAACTTTATTAACCAAAAGAACATAAGTTGGCTGGTGGATCTCAAAATGGGACACAATTGCAGAATCCTAAAACTCACACAAAATGTCCACAGAGAATTTCTGTAAGCTCAGATACCAGTAGTAACTAAAACATACAGGTATAAGCACCACTCTCGCTGCTAACTCTGGTGGGCACAAAATGGCCCAAGGAAGAGCATGAACAGAAACCTTCAAAATGACAGTTTGAAAACTGGTACTAAAAGGAAGTGGACTCAAGAGGTACTTTTGGACCAGAGGAATGTCTTCATAGTTAATAGACTGATAAGTACCCCCTTTTTTGTGTGTCCACATCACAGTAACTGGGAAAAATAATGGTTCTTAGAATGCTGTTTGAAGGACTCTTTTAGCTCCTAGGTCAGGGCAGGTACTCTCAAAGCACAATAGGAACCATGAGTGACATTCTATGTGTACTTTGACTACAGCGCATCTGTCATTTTTTTTAAACAATAGCAGTTAATAGCCATCACCAACAGTGTGGGGAGCTGCAGCCCACCAACAGAAGGCTCTGCAGAGGGTTAGTGGCTCCTTTTATAATTAGCATTAGCAACATATAGAGGAAATACTTACTGGTAATTTAATGTTGCCTTGTGTTAACCATTGTGATCTTATTGGCTAATCTCTAACAGTCAGCCAGCTTTTACTTCCTACCGTTCCTACTGTCAGTGGGAATGCAAACAGAAAAGAAGCTAGTGAGGGTAGGTAGTTCTTGGGGGAGCTCTCCACTGTGGTAGTCCCTAACATAGACTCATTGGTTGCAGTAATAGATGCACACACAGGCATGATTGCTGGCTTCATCTCTGGGAGAGGGTCTTATGGGCCAAAATAAGTCTGATTGATGTGTTTAGGACCAATAATTTGAGAGAAATCATAAAAAAAAAAAACTACAAAGAGGGAAGGTGTCCATGAGTGCTCACGGTAATTTAGACACACTCAGTACTCCAGACAGGTTAAGACTGAGGCTTTTTCAACACTCTAAATTTGATATTTTTCATTAACTGTCACTGAATATGGTATCATATGATATGATATTGTATCAAATTGATTATCAATTTGGTGATCTGTGGTGCAGCACCGAGGTGAAATGTCATTTCTGCCTCAGTGTAGATATGTGGTTGTGGTCATTTGCTATGTGGTTGACCAAGTACAGATAAAGTTGCTAAATTTATAAGTGGTGGAAGCGGAACAAGTGGAATAACTTTTTAAAAGGCAAGTTCTAAAATTTGTTTTGACAATTTAAGAATAAGCTTTGTTTATTTACTGAAGTAGGTAATGAAAAGAACGTTAAAAAGAGTATTTTGCCAGCACACGCTCCTCCTCATCAAACTGCATGTGTCCTATATATGATAGAAATACTGGATTGGTTAAGTGTTTTTTGTGAGGTGACTGTGCAAAATGGCTTCACAAAACTTTTTTGTGAACGTGCAGGACACGGTCTTATTTCTCTGCTGATGTTCACAAACTGATTTATAGTGTCCCCTAACTGGGTGAATTTCACTTAACTGTGGCTGTGTGACCATGGTTTGGCATTCAGGATGGGCGGGGTGGAGCTGAGTGAGCAGGGAGAGGGAGGAGTGGAGGTGACAGATTTTCCAGTAAGGAAAATGGCACCTTTTAATATGAGTGCAGAGGATGTTATGGACGAGGATACTTTTTTCTGACTCAGATAGATGGCCAGTATATTTGTTCAAGCCAGAATATACAGCTGAAGAGATCTAGTGGAGACTGAGGCTGAGGAAGCAGCTAGCATTAGCCTTGTAGAGGATACAGCTGGCAGGGGCCACCCAGAAACTGAGCTGTTGACAGCAAACAGTGACTGGTGGTGCCTTTGCTCAGACTGCCCTCTGATGGCAGTAACTGCAGGGCTCCAGACTACGAGTGATCAGTCGCATTTTGCGACCAAATTTATTTAAGACGTGACTGACTTTTTTTCTAAAGGTCACACTGGGTGTGACTACAAAATAAAGAGGTTATGCATGATCAACTGCTCTCACTGTAGACATGGTGGACAGAGTTACATCTCTGCATCACTGTCATTGCAGTATTTATTTGCAAGTCTGACTTACAAAGTCTTGAAAACCTTTGTCAAACTCTGACCGACAACTGTCAATCTGCTCTGTGTTGTGCGCAATGTCAAGTTGCGCACACGCCTTCCATTGTGTCTCCAGTTCTGATCCGAGGTTTTGAAAGTTCCCCCAAAAATGGCGCTGCAGCTTTGAGCAGAGGTGTTGCATTTTTTCTTTGAAAACATTAACTAAGCTGATCATATTGACACATGATCTACCAACACTACCTTTGCGATCGACCAGTCGATCACGATCAACATATCGGGGACCCCTGTTCTAGTCTCTCTTGCTAGTGCTAGGTAGATTGTGAATTAATCCTGATTGTAGCTTTAAGGATATTTGTCTCCATATCTGCTTACATCTATTGCTGGATTAAACTCCAATCTATAGAAGAAGGAGTGGCCACTGAAAGGAATGCTCTTTGGTTTTGTTCACTGCTGTCCAATTTCCACCAATTTCTTCCACCACCCACATCTGTCAAGCACATGCTCTTTATCATAGGGAAGGCCAAGTCAAGTTGAAGTAAAACACAAGCCATACATTGTGTCCCCTTGCACGCACCAGATCCTGATAAATTCTCAGGGAGAGTCAAAATGTTCAAAGGAATCACAGACACTGAAAAATCATTACTACAAAGGGAATGTTTCTGGATATAGTATATACCATTAAAACTCAGCATCTGAATGGTTTAAATAAGCAATGTAATCCAACAGTTTTTCTATAAATACGCAGTGTTTATGTAGCCAAGCTGGGCTCAGATATACACCACTTTATGAACCAGCTGCACACCCAATGTTTATTTTGTAGACCTGAACCAATACATAACATCTTTGTATAAATAAACCTTTTTATTTTCATTTCCTGTCATTATTGATATTGACCTGTGGTGGAGCTGATTGTATCTTGTACATGTATGACATTGGTGCCTTCTGATGCAGTTAAGTTTGGAAAGCTGATTGCTGGGACTTGAGATTGAAAATACAGTTACTTTTGACTGAGTCCTAGGAGCCCAGGGAGTGTCAAGCCATATCAAACAGAAGAGCCAGAGCATCCGTTACACATACTCCTCACATATACTACACTGCTATGCTATTCTGTATCTACAGTATAACATAAATTAGAGCGAAAACCCAGTTTATCTCATAGCCAAACTGAGAGGAGTTGGAAAGGTGTGGGGGATGGGATTTCGTACACTGGCCAATAAACTGACACACACTTTGTTTGAATGACACTGACAAGAGCAAAATTATGACAAATTATGACTAATATTATGACTAAATTGTCATAAAATATGAACTACAGTTAGATGATTTCTAGAGAAGGATATCTGATCATTTGGATGACCCCTAAACTTTTGTTCAGTGCTATGTCAAGTCAAAATGTCCTTTTGAGACTATGTAGTTTTGTCCAACATTTATGTCATTTCCTCATCTGATCCAGGTCTGTCAGCGGATACAGACGGTCTGGCTGAAGCTCAGAGTGGTGCTGCACCTACAGCTAAAGGTAAGATTTTTTAAAAATGTTTTTGAGCAGTGAGCTACTAGCTGCATACATTTTTTAGATGTTTCCAAGATGATTAAGCAGTCTTGGAAATATTAGATATGCTTCTGGAAGTTAAGACAAAGTAGCATGTTCTGGGCTTCTGAGCAGGACCAGATAGCATGCTTTTTTCAGCTCACTTTTTATTTCTGAGAAAATGGAAAAACACAAACTCCAGTACAGTATGGGTATGGCATGGTTCCTGGTTGAAGCTGAATGACAGCTGTAGTCACTTGGTGACAACACTAAGTAAATCTGAGTGTCCTTTTCATTACTATGATAGGCAGAATTATTGTCATATGATTTTACCCACAAGGAGCATGTGCAGGATAAATACCAATGGTTCAAGGATTGTACCATGGGGGACTCCACATGTAATCTGCTCAGATTTATGATCACCGGTGTAAACAATGTAGCTCCTGCCTTCGAGATCTGATTTGAACCAACTTAAAACTGCACCTGATCATTTCAGACACTTATTCAGTCTGTCAGGAAGAATTTTGTGGTCAGCAGTAGTCACCAACTGCAGGCCCCACTCAAGATCTGGAACCAAAGAGGTTTCTATCTGTACTGCGAAGTGTTTCACAGAGTGGCCAGCTCAGCAGAGCTGTGTGGGTCCTTTAGTTGCTGTGCATCATGTCTATTCACATCATGGTAGTCATTGAGTGGGTCTGCAATGAGCGAGAGAAACAAACAAACTCAGAACAGTTGACAGTGAAAATCGAGTGTTCACAGACATTTCTTATTTTGCCTCTCTACTACAAATGTAGCAAGGCCAGTGTCCTGCTCTGTTCCAAGCATCTGGCAGTTGTAAAAAGCTGAATACTGTTACAAAATGAAAGACAGATGCTTTGAAAAAACTTTGAGAGAGAAAGAACAAAATTACCTGAAACTGTCCTCACCCAGTTCTCCGAGCTCAACAACATGCAAACAATGGATTTTGGGTAAATGTTTAAAACCTGAAATGATGAAAGAGTGAATGAGCAGAATCTGATGTTAGACTTTCTGACTCTTTTACTTTGACTCTTTCTATCTTCTTTTTTCTTTTCTTGTCTCCCTTCTTCTTTCTTCTTCTCCTTTTCCATTTTCCCTTAGTGCATGTGTGGCAATTCTGTGCCACTAACAGATATATGAAGAGGTAATTAAGGTGAATGAAGGCTAGGCAAACCTGGCAACGCAACATGGAAAAATAGTTAAGGTGAATGGGTGATAGCGGATGTAAGGCAAGCTAGCGTCGGCTGTCTAAAACTCTGTGTGTGTGTCTCTAGCTGCAGCACCAGAGCTAGGCTGAGCAGAGGAGAGTGACGCGGGCGAGGAGTGAGCGGAGACCATGTCGTGAAAGAAAGTTTTTTCCATTGAGTAGAGCAAGTAGGCATGTAATCACTAGGCAAAGATGAGCTCAGAGTAGCTGTTGTACACTTGGACAGAGGAAAGAGAAGATTTAGGAACGGAATAATTTACTGAATGACTGAATAATGAATCACTGATGTATGTTTGTCACACTGCAGATATATGATTAGTGGTTTGATATGATGAGTACTTACATCAATCGTGAATTAACACATTTATTTTTATGATTGTTTCAGAGAAACTGAAATTCATTAGGTAATCATACTACAGGTTTAGCAAATTTTGTATTAAATTTCATATTTTTTGATGTGAAATATAATACATATTAAAAGTTGTTTTGCATGACTACACAATATTGACTTATTTACATATTTTCCTGGTTGACTGGGGATGGTTTAGTCACCGCTACGCTGAACTTTACCACAATGCTGATGTCAGTGATCTGCTTGAATAACACTATGCTCTATGAAAGTCAAATTTCTATAGATCTGATTTTGCCTGTTTCTCACTTTTAATGCTTCCTTTAACTTTTAAAAACATCTTATTTTATTTCCTCAAGGTTATTTCCTGGAATTCCAGGAACCAGTCAATAACATCACCCACTTCCAGGGCCAGACCGCCACGCTACACTGCAAAGTGACAGGAAACCCACGACCATCCATCCGCTGGCTAAAAAATGATGCCCCGGTTGTGCAGGAGCAAGGACGCATAACCATACGCAAGACGGAGACAGGATCCAAGCTCCGCATCCAGGACCTGGACACAACAGACACCGGCTATTATCAGTGTGTTGCCTCCAACTCACTGAAAGTCATTTCTGCCACAGGTGTCCTGTTTGTCAAACTAGGTAAGGTTCACATTTATTTATATGTTTACTTAATTATCTAGGTCTACACTATATGGACAGAATTTTGAATGCTTAATTTCTAATGTCATTTGTAAAAAGTGTTTAATTTATACACTATAAAATATGCATGAGTGAAGAACTCTTCATGATTCACTGTTTTGGATCAACAAAATTTCAATATTAACAATTTTTTAATGAGGTGAGTAGCTTGTGTGGAGAGCTTGCATTTTTCTTTAACTGATGATGTCATTAATGACCCTTAAATGTTTCTTTGCATTGTAAAAACTCTAAGATCTAACATACACTACCAGTCAAAGGTTTGGACACTCTTGCCCATTCAATTTAATGTGAAAGTGTGTCTAAACCTTTCTATAGCAGTGTATGTATCAACACAGGTTTTTTTAAGTAACCAAGAATCCATGGTGATCTGTTGCTAATTTTAATGTATATTTATGTTTTGATTTCACAGGACAGATGCCCACACGTGGCCCCGATGAACCGTAAGTTTCTAGAAATCGCTGTGTTCATCAGTATGCGTGAATAAATATCTTAAAAGCAACCGAAAGAAAAACATTGGAGCTGGAGCCAATCCCAGCTGACACTGGGCGAGAGTTGGGGAACACCCTGGACAGGTCGCCAGTCTATTACAGGGCTGACATGTAGACAGACAACCACATGCACTCACTGCTAATGGGCAATTTAGCGTCACCGATCAACCTAAGCTCCATGTATTTGGACTGTGGGAGGAAGCTGGAGTACCGAGAGAGAACCCACACAGGCCCAGGGAGAACATGCAAACTCCACACAGAAAGGCCCGGGGTCGGCTTTGGTGGCATTTGTTACACAGTGTTTGAATCTGTGTTATGCTCTGAAAATGTACCTATGATATCAACTCTGGCCTAATCTATACTATGCATAATTTTTATTTTGTACACCTTTTATGGACTTTGAATCTCTGTTGAGTGGTAATTCATCTGAGACTATATTTCTTATGTAGTCTCAGGTGAATTGATTGTTGATTGCTGAGGCTGACATTGAAGAGTTAGGGTTGATATATTGGCCAAAACAAATTTTTGTTTACAAGCCCTCAACTGTGGTTATTAAACAACTGAAACCAAGATATGTACTAAGTCGAAGATCTTAGTTGAAAAATAAACTTGTGCGCGCTCTGTGGTGACTGAACTGCCAACAGAGCAAACTTTGACTATTGCCCCATGATCCCAGACCCCCAGCAGCCACCAAAACCCAGGCAAATAATGATGCTGCCATGTGCCATCTACTAAGGGTACTAATGGGATGTTTGAAGTGACTTTGTAGCTGAGGTGCAGTTTGTTTTGTTTGTTTGTTTTTAGGTCGCATGAACAAGGTTTCTGTCAGCCATATCGAGGCATTGCCTGTGCTCGCTTCATTGGCAACAGGAGCATCTATGTTGAGTCTCTGCAGATGCAGGGGGAAAGTGAAAACCGCATCACAGGTAAGAACATCAACTGGCTTTCTTAGGTGACATTATTATTGTCGAGTAAGAAATGAGTATACTTATTTCTATAGATATGTGAAATTAAAATACAGTGTTTCATCTACATGGGTTCAGCAAAGGGGCTGTTGGTGAAATTTTACATTCACAACTTGCACTTTTTAAACTGCATGCAGCTGGATGGTTGGTGGACCACACACCCACAATAACAAACATGAATGCACCATTACCATTTAGCTGCTCTCGAGTGCCTGTGCAATAACTGGTAACTCACTTGGGAGAAGCAGTATATGGTGACAAGGTAGAACTATGATCTTCGCCAGTGTAAAGTATTTTATTTAGCTAACGTCTTTGACAAATGCATAACATGTGTTCCAGAACTGAGTAAAGCTAAATGGACATGAACAAGTTCATTGAGAAGTGACTGTGAAGACTCACAGATGCAGCCACTCAGACTTGCACTTCCCAGTGAATGGCTTTCAGCTAGTGTGCGGCTGGCGTGCAGTTCTGTCAGCCTTCCAGGGTCCCCCTTTCTCCTATTGCCTGATAAGGCATGTCTAGATTCCACAATAAACATGTCCATTAAAGAGCTATTCCTTGATTTGCCATGACATATAAATCAACATGCAGCAGGAGGACCTCAGTGAACAATCAATATGTTTTGGATTTGGTTTAACACTGGAATTGAGAGTATTTTCTTATAGATTCAGGAGTCATTGATGACTGGCCATGACAAATATTGGGGGGAGGTTGGGACAAATGTCAGTTTTTCATATTTTGGGTGGAACCTGTCCACTGTGGAGATTACACCCTAGTTATGGCTATAATATTCATCCTGTGACAAATGGCTACCAGAGAATAAAGTCAGTCTAATAATCATAGGACAAGAGCTGCCTATGGCAACGTAAATCTTGTTTTAACAAGAACCTCATTATAACAAAATACTTTGATCGTTTTTATGGGTTCTGGGAATGCTGTAGTTCTGGGGGTGTGTTGTGTTGAGCTGGACAGATGTGACCTATACACAGCACTATGTATGTGCTTTACTCCAGCAGTGCAGCCATGCACTTTTGCCACAAGGGGGCTCACATACAGTTAACAGCCTTTCCGACACTCACAGTGGTTAAGAATCCTTTATGAAATTTCTGGATCTAAACGATAAATGTGATCAGCACCAAAATCTAATCATTTGTTCCATGGGCCATACCCTACCTCTAAAAAATGTATCAAACTCCATTCATTACTTTTTGAGTTACGCTGTGAACAAACAAACCAACACTGGCAAAAATATTACCCCAGCCCGTGACAAATTAAAAACTCTATAGCCTTCAACAGTCAATAATCTTATAGAGTACACTTTTGTAACAATTATGTTTTTATTTACCGTAGTGATTGTACCTTGTTCACTTGCTACTGTCTGGAACCCAGCTCCCTGTTTGTTGTAACTAAGCAGCTGCTCATCACATATGTTGCAGGTGGTATTTTACAACAATTCCATAAAATTTTTACAACTTTATACGTCAGTGTTCATCAACACTTCTTGCATCTTTGGTAGGCAAGGAGGTGCACTTTAATAGATAATTTGCTCAGTCCTTAAGGGCAGTTAGTAATCACATGTAACTCTCATTAAACATTAAAAGGGACCACCTAGTATTGCAACTAGGTACTGCAGTATATTTTCTAACAGTTACATCGCACATTCTTATCTTATCTTATTAATATATTTTTAATTTATATCAGTACCACATTGACACATTTGTTTGTAGATTGCATGAGCATATTTGTGTAAACAAAGCAAACATCTGTGCCTCATTATTTCTCAAGTCATCATTTGAGAATTAATAAAGAAAGGATGTTTGTTTTGCTTGCACAAATGATGTGCAAACAAATGAGTCACCACTTTGGAATCATTGGACCAATAGTGGTCTGCTGAGGCAAAAGTGTAATGTTTAATGTCTCACAAATGGTGAGATTACTGTTTTTATTTTGCCTACACAAACGTGCATAAACAATGACAAAATAAATCAAAATGGTTTTTATTAATAACCATATCATATGGGGTACCAAGTCAAAGAGATACAAACTTAAACTAAAGTGGTGCAGCTTTGTCCTGTACACACACTCTATCTTGTTAGTCAAAATATCCGAATTTTCAGTTGAGGCTGAATTGTGGCACATTAAAAAAAGGGGGGATTATAGTGACCCTGAGGAGCTGAGGTCAGTGAAATTAGAGATGCAAACTAGCCAACTTTTAAGTTAACAAGAGGATATTTCTTATGTATGTTCATGTGTAAACATGTTCCCTTAATAAATAGACAGTGCAGGCAATGGGGGATTGAATAGAGAGAGAAGAGAGGAGAAAAGAATTCAGCATTAAGTCAGGAAAGAGGAGACATTTATTACTACAGCTTCCTGGGCCACCAGAGCCCTTCAAGTGCCAATAGCTCCAGGTAAATTAGCATACACAACTAGGAATAATCTAAGGTCATTTGAAGCAATTCCTTCACATATTCAACATTGCATTCAACATTCAACATTAGGTGAGAGAGAACTGGTATTTTGATTTTTCTCTATGTCCTGCACATATAGTGAATTGACAGTAAAATCTTTGAACCTTTGAACATATGGGTCTGGCGTCTCATATTCTGGAGTACATGCACAACAGCACCACTGCTGAAAAAAATCCTAGGGAAAACACTGCATAAGAAAACCTGGGAAACAGTCCAAACAGGTATCTCTGTTTCTTCACTCCAAGCTGCCTTCACTATGATTGGCACCTCTACTCACCTATCGGATCAGTGCTCCAGCTTTGCCATCCCATCCTTCTGCTATTACGTCTTCCCTCTGTGCGATGAGGGTTCTCGAGGCCCTCGGCGGCGTCAGCTCTGTCGAGATGAGTGTGAGGTCCTGGAGAATGACCTGTGCCACACCGAATACACCATCGCACGATCTAATCCTATGATCCTAATGCAGCTGGAGCTGCCCAACTGCCGCCTGCTGCCACAGCCAGGCACCTCTGATGCTGCTTCATGTATGAGGATAGGAGTGCCACCAGAAAAAATCGGTCCATGTAGGTGGATTCTATGACACACACACACATTACAATTATTGGTGTAAAAGCACCACGGTCATGAAATGAATGATGAATAAATTATTAACAACAATTTGCAGCCACAAGTGTAACACTGTAATCCTAAGTGGAGCTGGCAGTTAACCAAAAAGATACTGAAACTTTCATAATTCGTCCATTCAATTAAATCCTTAAGACACATGGTCATTTTAGCCTTTCTGTTTCATGCACTCGAAGGCCAAAGCAGAGACAACAGTCTGTAAAAGTAACCCTTGGCCTTTTGTTTGGTGTGATCCAGTCACTGTAGCTGTTCCATCTCACAGTTTTAAAGGATATAATTAACCATGTGTTCGGTCTAACTTATTCAAATGTTGTAGAAGTGTTGGCTGGGGGCCAGGACAGTTAAGGAGAAACTTGTACAGACAACAAATCCCATGTTGGTCCTTTAAGACTCTGTTACAGTGTTTAAGAATATTCATACTGAATCACTGTCTACAGATTCTCCCTCAGACCATAGCTGCTACAATGGAAGTGGGGCTGACTACAAGGGCCTAGTCAGCATCACCAAATCTGGTCACCACTGCCAGCTGTGGAGTGCCCAGTACCCTCACAGTCACCACCTGTCCCAGGAATACCCTGAGCTCTTGGGAAGTGACAACTTCTGTCGTAACCCCGGAGGTCAGATGCAGGCACCCTGGTGCTTCACCTTAGACCCTCAGGTCAGGGTGGACCTGTGTGACATCCAGCCCTGCAGTAAGTATCATAAGGCAAAAACTATGTTCTTACATTTTAAATGAATTGTTAACATTTTCCAATCATTATAAGATGAAGAGATCAGATCATATGTTTTAAAAAAAAACTAAACACTTGAATTATACAATGAACATATTATAAATCAGAGAACCTAACTTGTTACATCTCTATTATCTTGTCTTCAGAGCCTCCAGAGAATCCCAGGAAGGAGATCCTGTTTATTCTAATCCCTGCAATTGCTATCCCATTAGTCATCGCTTGCCTCTTCTTTCTGGTTTGTATGTGTCGCAATAAGCAAAAGGCTTCGACTGACACAACACTTCGCTGCCAGCTCAGCAGCTCTCCTAGCCAGGAAATGGAGCTCTCTCTTCTTAATCAGCAAAAACACCAGGTAACACAACAGACGTGCACTGGGTGTTTCATTTGCATTTTTTCTGATATATAGCCATGTTCAGACCAATGCTAGCAGTGTATTAGAAAATGTAGCACCCTAATTCATTTTAACTCAGAGAATTCTGGGAAAATACACCATTAAACACAAATGTATCAAGCAATTTGTGCCATGTAAACTCAAGATAAGTTGGGGGCGGGGGCTTTTAAGAAAGATTTAAGATTTGGGCCCTCTACAAGATGTGACTTCAAGATTATGTACTAAAGCCAGTGTGACCTCCCTAGTTTAATTTTACTCTGTACATTTAGTGGCGTATACAGTATTACCAAACATATGTTTACATAGCTACAAAGCCCAAAGTGAACCTGGAGTCATCATGTCCTCTGAGGCGTTGTAGCTCTAGAGCAGCTGCTTGTTTTGCCAACTCATTAATCCAGTGATGCATTTTATTGGTAAAATCCATGGTAGCACACTTTCAGCACACATTGTAACACAAAAAAATAAAGCTACCCTTTATTTGGTGATTGTGGAGGTGGAGTATAAAATGGAATGATTGGTGCTGTGGTAATGTTCCAGTGTTGTAAAAATCCCTTCTTCCAGTATCATGTCTCACTGCGCAGTTTTCAGGTCTCTGATAGATCTTAAAATTCTCAGGTCTATCAGTATCATGTCTCACTGCGCAGTTTTCGGGTCTCTGATAGATCTTAAAATTCTCAAACTCAAATCTCCTTTTTTTGTCATCTCACCGGTATCTGAAGCAACACATGTCCTCTAATGTTTTGGTTTAAACAAGTAATAAAAACAGCTGAATGAAGAACTTGTGCATTACAGTGCTAAAGTACTACATTTGGGTTTATTGTTCCCCATCTACTTTAATAACACACATTTGTATTTATTGTTTTGTGTTTGCAGGCCAAGGTGCGAGAGCTTAACATGTCAGCAGTACGGTTTATGGAGGAGCTTGGAGAGGATCGGTTTGGTAAGGTTTACAAGGGCCACCTGTATGGCACCACACCTGGTGAGCAGATCCAGGTGGTAGCCATAAAGACATTAAAAGACAAGGTTGATGCCACTCTTTGTGAGGAATTTCGCAACCAAGCCATGCTCCACTCTCAACTACAGCACCACAATATTGTTTGTTTGCTCGGTGTGGTCCTCAAAGAGCAGCCATTGAGCATGATATTCACCTACTCCAGCCTGGGTGACCTGCATGAGTATCTGGTGATGCGCTCCCCCAACTCTGATGTCGGCAGCTCAGATGATGACAAAACAGTAAAATCCACACTGGAGCAGGCTGATTTTCTTCATGTCATCACCCAGATTGCTGCTGGAATGGAGTATCTTTCTGGCCAACAAGTAATCCATAAAGACCTTGCTGCCCGAAACATTCTGGTCTTTGACAAACTTAGTGTCAAGATCCTGGATCTGGGCCTGTTCAGAGATGTCTACTCTGCTGATTACTACAGCCTCATGGGCACAAGCCCTTTCCCCATTCGCTGGATGTCCCCAGAAGCTATTATGTATGGCAAGTTCTCCACCGAGTCTGATATCTGGTCTTATGGTGTATTGCTATGGGAAACTTTCAGTTATGGTCTACAGCCATATTGTGGCTACTCCAACCAGGATGTGATAGAGATGGTCCGCAGCCACCAGCTATTGTCTTGTCCAGATGACTGCCCAGCCTGGATTTACACCCTTATGCTGGAATGTTGGAGTGAATTTCCAGCAAGAAGGCCTCGCTTCAAGGACATCCACACACGTCTGCGCTGCTGGGAGAGCATGTCCAGCTACAACAGCTCTGCTCAGACTTCTGGCACCAGTAACACTACCCAGACCAGCTCTCTCAGCACCAGTCCTGTTAGCAACATCAGCATGAGCACAGCAAATGCACCACGCTACCCTAGCCCTAAAAAGAGCTCACCATTCCATCAGCCACAGTTCATGCCCATGAAGGGTCAGATGCATCGGTCAGTGGTGCCCCCACAGCTCTACATCCCAGTCAATGGATATCACCCTATGTCTCCTTACCCATATCTGCCGAACTTTTACCCCATGCAAATACCCATGCCTGTGCCCCACCAGCAGATGCACCACCCCCCACAAATGGTTCCCAAAGCTGGTTCTCACCATAGTGGTAGTGGGTCCACATCTACTGGCTATGTCACCACTGCCCCTTCTAACACATCTGTCACAGAGCGAGCAGCTTTACTAAATGAGGATTCCAAGACCAATAATGAGGACTTAGCTGACAGGGAATTCCAGGAACAACTAGACCAAAACAGGGATTTGTCAGTGCCCGAAACAGAATTGCTAGGTGACAATGACTCTCCACAGACTGATGAATTTGTAGCCCACATGCCAAACGTGTAAATGTGGTGCTGTTAGAAGGACAGTAGAGCTAAATTATTTTCTGAGCTTATGCTTGCTTGCCAAAAATTTGATGAGCAGTAAAAAGTGAAGGGAATTGTGACTGAATGTTTTTTATGAGTTTCTTAGATAGTCCTGACATATTTGAATGACAATTTGTCTCATGTCTGTGCCTTTTAAACTCCTGTGTGAATATTTAAGCACAATTAATAGTACAATCCTATACAGAGTGTGTCTATATAATGCTGCCATTCATAACAATGTTTATTCTCATCATTTGCTGTACAGCACAAAACTTTTCTTATCCACAAGTGCTTTAGAAGTTGCCTTGCCTTAACTGACATTCTGCCTTTGAATGCTCATGGTGTTGCCAGCTGCTTTTTTAAAAACTTGTCAGCAAGGCCATTCACTGGGAGGCACAGAAAGGAGGGATTCTTGCCACCCACCTCAGATAGTATGCCTCTCTGTACAGGCAGCCTGTGGTTCTGGTTATAGGTATAATCATTCAGATCCAGGAATATTTTTTTAAAGAATCTTCACCATTGTGATGAAAATGCATGGCTGCACTGCTGAGCACTACATACAGAGACAAATCCCTGGGCCAGCGATAGCTGCCCATTCATTGTCTATGGAAGTTGAGTGCTGTCACTCAGTACACTCCACCCCAGTGAGACGACAGTCCAAGATCGGGAAAAGCCCTGCTCTATGCAGCAAGAGCCAATCAGGATTATTTTGAAAATGATAGAGTTGTGAACCAGGGTCAAAACTTACATACTAATGCAATGATATGTTTTGTCTTCATCAGACAAATAATGATGAAGGTCATGTTGCTTGAAACAAAGCACTGCATTAATATGTAGTAAAATAAATCCTTCAAGACATTTTGTCAGTTCATTGTGCTAACAGTTTTTAGCTTTTTGGTTCTTAGTTATTGTCCAGCACCTGTGCACAACCTGGATTGAATGTGCACAGTTTTTGCCTAGGTAATATTTAAATTCACCGAGCTGTATTTGGGACTTAGTAAGATCAAATAACCTTGTTTAATCTTTTTTTTTCCAGCCATTGACAATGGTTATAATCCATATTATGTATGTCCCACAAGGTTTATATGTTTAACATCAACTTTGATAACAGATTTGTTGTTTATGTACTTTGGTTTGAACATTTTATTTGTTCATAGTTTTTCTTTGTTGTTGATGTTCATACATTGTCCATTTCTACCAGTTTTCTTTGTTTTAGCTTTTTTTCTTATCATATAGTATATCATGAATATCTATCTATGGAATATCAAAAAAGTCATGAATAAAATTATGTATTTCCACTTGGCACTAGAGGAAAATCATGTATTGTCACTTGTTGATTATATTTAGTCATCAGCAATTTTTAGGAGGCAGGAAGAATATATAGTCTCATAATACAGATATATGTGTAAAAGAAATTAATCTGTCATCTACTTTAGGCTATTATGACTTTTTAAAGTCATTTAAAGGTCAAAGTGTTTATTTGTCCTTGGACTGCCACCTTATTGTGGTGGAGGGGTTTGAGTACCCGAGTGATCTGTCTGGGGCTATATGTCCCTGGTAGGGTCTCCCAAGGCAAACAGGTCCTGGGTGACGGGTCAGACTAAGAGTGGTTCAAAAGCCCTTTATGAATAGAATAAAATCCAGGACCGTGACGTTG